CTGTACAACTATTTACAAGACCATGGCTCTGTGTGAAGTAGGAAAATGTGTGATTAGTGCTCTGTCATGCATTCGAGGTCGCCGAAATTCTGTCCCTTGAGACACGGGGCAACTTGCCAGTTTGCTGCTTCAGCAGACAGTGTGTTGTGCTGCTGTTGTGCGCGACGTCGCGAAGGCCAAGATGTCTCCTCTCACCCTTCGCTTGACCTCATCTCTGACGTGTAAAGCGGGCATAAGGGGACGAAGTAAAGAGATGCTTATTGATTTCAGTCGTGAAGGCGTACAATTCTGCTTACTTGGGTTGCCATCAAGTCTGTTCAAGAGTCAGGCAGTTAACCCTCAATTGTTCACATTTGTGCAGTCTGTCGCAGGATTTTCACTTCCACAAATGCATCGACGACCCTCGATTTGGGTCTGGCTGTCCTATCTCCTCTCGTCGGTACTCAGAACATGCTCGTCTGCAAGCATATGTGAGTGCGTGAGTTGATTAAGTTTTTGACGAAAACATTTTTTTCACACCTTTAACCATCCACTCCGAAGGGTTCGACAGGAGGGCAGCTCGAAATGGACTTGCGATTAAAATGTTTCCTTCTGAGTCCAACAAAGCCTGGCACTTACTCAAGGCAAGAGAGGAAATGGAGTTTGGTATGTCTTAGCAAATATCGTGGACATGTTTTTTGAGACCGCCAGCAGAGTGTATATATTAGGTGTATTCACACTATTCCGTTTAAGGTGGGGAAAGACTGCTACTTGAATTTTTCCCACAAGCATATGAGTAGATCTTGCCTTCATCTATAATGCCACTACAGAATGGGAATCATATCTGCTCTGTGGTCCAAGGGCACTCGTGGCAGTGTTCCGAGATCGTATGCTGCACTACCACAACCAGAGATAGAGTCCCGCTGTGGGATGATAATGAGAACAGTTGAGGCTCGGTTGAAGCCGTCACTACTCCTGCCTGGATGATAATACTTTAGGAAATTTATAGCAAACTTAAATCTTGTGAGAGAAATTCAACTATCAATCCTTGGTCACCTTGAGCGAAATATTGTGAATACATGTCATATGGTGGACATGTTTTGCCTCAATGCCTGACTTTGTCCTTCACTTTATGTTTCTTTAGGGCCAAAACCTCCGCTCTTGGATCAAGTCTTCATTGCTTGCTTCGAATGTGTCTACTTTGAATTTTTCTTGAGGCATGTAAATGGCAATCCTGCATTAAAGATACGAAGAGCATCTCGGTTTCGATAAATCCCCTGACATAACATTGCTGTAAAATTTTTCATTTCTTATGAAAGTGCTTGGTGCTGAGATTCTTTGGGTGATCTCTCTGAAAGACAATTGCTGATTTTTGATAAAAATGGGTTGAGTATTCGTCCATGCTACTTGACGTGCATCATCAGAGCTGGATCTCTTTCTTGCCGGAGCCTTAAGTTAAAACCGAATTGGGAAGTCTATCCGGCTCTATGATATGTGCAGTATATAGTCTTAAATAAAACGAAATGAGAAGGTATAGATGGATATAGAATTATTTTATCAGTTAACTTTTACATTGAAGATATGAAGACAAAGATGGTGTGGAATTTTGTGTTGTCGCAGTCTCCTTTCGTTGTATAGAAGTTGTTCGACTTTGTTTTCGCAACTTGGTCATATTGGTAGGAAGACTTAAAGGAACACACCTAGTCCGGAGTCCATTGTAT